CAGCTCCTATGGGACTAGGCCAGGGTGTCTAGCCTGTCCCCCCCACCCCCCGCACCACCCAGGCAGCTTCTGACTCTGCAGTTGGCCCAGGCTGACTTAAGGGAAGATCCAGAAAAAGAAATGGAATCAACACAGAAGAGCAAAACCTGTGTTCTGGTCACTGCAGCTTCTGATACCAGGCGGACACTCAAAACGCCCACAGTGGCAAACCAGTGTCCCCAAAAGATACCTGTGTGGGATCAGAAGAAGACTCCTCCAATTTCCCAGCTAGGGGAAGTGATATTTTATCACTGTCAGAAACGTGATAATAGTACATGAGATCAGCTACATAAATTATGAAACCAAAGTCACAGTTCCATCGTTCTGTGACAGTATTGTTTAAATCACCATGTTCTTGTTAAAAGAGGAAAGAATTTCTTAAATGAGACACTGGAAGAAGTGGAAAAGAAGTCTCCAGTATCCCAATGAAAGGTGGCGGGAAGGGGGAGACTGGGTTCCAGGAGATGCTCGTGGCCTAGGACCATGGACAGCAGCTAGAGAGGCAAATGGGCTTCCCCCCCCCCCCCCCAGAAACCTGCTACTCAGGCTATGTCTGTGCCAGAAGGAACGTGAAGTGGAACCCTAAATTTGAAATGGGGATAAGAGATCTTATTTGCTAATGGGGGCTGGGGTAGGGGAGAGAAGCTTCCAGGAGAGAATGGATCTAATTTGGAGTGGGAATGTTGAAGCCCCAGGAGGCTCCAATCCCTGTGGCTCCTGGACCCCCCACCCTCTGAGAGCAAACGAGCACCATCAGGAAGGAGGCCCTTCTGTTTGCTCCTCACCTCATTATGCAGCAACCTACCTAAACGATGATCTCAGAGGCCTCCCTCTGCTTTGCACTGACACACATGCGCGCGCGCACACACACACACACACACACACACACACACACTCTGCTGTCTGCTGAAACCCGATATGAGGTCTTTTTTAAAATTTATTTCAAAGCCTCCCTCCCTCTCCCTCTCTTCACAGACGCTCTGCAGTGAAGCTAATCAAAATCAATGACTCCTTGGCAGCCGGAGAAAAGCGGGGGAGAGAGGGAGGGATGGTGCCAGCACTTTGCACACTGTGGAAATATTTAAAAAAAAAATACACCACCCCACTATCTCATGCAATCCAAGTAATGCAGCCTCAGAGACGGTGGAGACAATATAGACATATATATCATGCTTCAATTTCCTAATACAAATGTCCATCAAGAAGTCAAATCTCATATAAAAACAAGCATTAAAAACAACCCCTTGTCAAAAATCGGGGCAGTCGAGAAGTGCACTCAAATTAATGATGTGCAAGAAAAAAGCCGGGATTAGGTAAATACACAGTTTCTATTAATACAAGAGACTATGTACAAGGGACTTGGCTGTAAAGCTCCATCAGGAGGGTCATGGGTGCCCAGGTCTCTCAGCAGTGTGGCTTCATTGAAATCAAAATTGCCCCAAATACCAACCCCGGCATTTGGAGTTTGGATCCTCCAGTGGAAATGTCATGAGCTAGTAGGCAAGTCAGGGTTGAAAAAGGGATTCTCTGACCTTCCCCCGTTCCCCTGTGTCTAGATGGGCAGCATGGCCCCACTGCCACGTGGAAGGTACAGGCTTACAGCAGCAGAGAGCCGTGACCACATATCATTATAGGAATGGAAACCCCCTCCCCAGAAAATGGGGTGAGTTGGAAAGACTCTAGTGTCTGGCTTGGAAAGTGATGATACAGAAGCAGAGACTGTGTTTCGTATCATTCTAATTAATTTGCCTTCTCTAAGTTCGCGGCTTGGTGGGGATGTCGCGTGCTGCTCTGGGCAGACGCTGCCTGCACACCCATCCCCTGGAAACATAACTGTGGGGAGGGCTCCCTCGAGGAAAGGAA